ATACTGGCCTGAGACCTTATGCTTTATGATAACAAGATTATGGAAGTTGGTATGTATAATTCATCAACATCCTTTAATGACATGTATGACATGTAAGACCTGGTTTGTATGACCGAATGCATCTTACCATGCCATTTCTTACAGAGATTTCAGAAAGTGTGGATTTGCTGTTTGCACCTGTATATCATCAAGGCCTCTTTTCAGAGATTGACCTTGAAATATCATTTTCCTTTATCTACGAGCAGTGGGAATGGTGGAGGAGGGGACATTTACTTCTGCAACTGCTTTGAAGGACTATTCTGCAAATGAATGAATTGCTCCAATACTTATTGGTCATGTACCACCTTCCTCCCCCACCACCACTGCATGAATAGAGTTGAAATATTCCATTAATTACTCCTGGATATTTCATATAGGACAGGAACCACATTGCTAACAGTGCTGTCATAGTCTAGCTATCTCAAGACTAAATTAAAAAAAAGGGCTTTTTTTGCATTTCGAAGGGTAGAAAGTTTAAGCATTATCTGCTGTTAATGAAAACCAGCCATACCAAATGATATTCAATATGCACAGTAAATCAGCAGTACATGAAAAATGGCATCTAAAACTTTTGATCTAAAGGATAATGTTCCAATTTAAGGTTAGATTTATAGAGTTATTTAAGATATTGGGAAAAAAAAGAGGATCTGAGAGAGATCTGGTAATAAACACCTATGCAGCATTTGAAACTCCAATGTAGCCTGTTGCATATATTAGAATATTTGAAGTTTGAGTCTGTGGTTGTCCCCTGAAGTTGGAGTCAGCTTCAAAACATGCTATCATTTTTTTATCATGAAGGTATAACACTTATTTTTGCTCAGAGCAATTTAATATACTCTTTAAAATTGATTAATTTCTGTATATCTATTTGTTTCTTGTCATAATCCTTAATAACCTTAATTTTTGTTCATGTTCCTAGCACGTCTCTAAACAATTTGGTTTTGTATGTGTGTGTGGAAGGAGTGGTCAGTACACAAAAATGGTCCATTTGATGCCTAAAATCCGTGACCATTTCAAAGAGGCCTCAGGGATTCTGCAGCCTTTTTGTGCCCTGATTATTTTTTAAAAACATTGGTGTAAGTAGAAACTAAAATAAGAAGTAAATAAGAAACAAGAAGTAAACCGGTAGTTTCTGAGTCTCCTCAGGAACTAAAAAATTATGTTTTTAAAATGGTTTTCAGAAACTTAAAGTTCCTTTTCACCCTGGTGATGTCAATGTCTTATCAATGCCTACCCTCATGGTTGTTTTACTCAGTGTGGTTCATAGTAATGGTTACTTATCCTAGATTTCTGTTGAAGTTTCAGGACAAAGAGAGCAGCTGAAAGAGTACAAGGGAGACTCCTGCAGCTTCTCTCCACCAAAAGGAAATCCAAAGAATAGCCAGTCATTAAGTTCCTAAAGCTGCTTTTCTAAATGCCCTGCTCAACATTTAGGGTTTTAGTCAGATAAAAGCTGACATCACCTGAGATTTCCAGACTTACCTCAAACACAAATACCCATTGATTTCAACACCTATTCAAGCTTCAAGTGTATCTACTCAAGTAGATACCATTCAACCTGTCCCATGTGCTTTCAAAGTTCTCTTTCAAAGTACCTTTGAAAATTTTCTCCAACCCTGAGCTCTAGGTGGTAGTCTGGCTGTTTCACAGTTGCTTTCACTATACAGGAACATGCTGTATGGGACCAAAGGGTTGGCAGATGACCGTGCATGGTGTAAATGGGAGCATTGTGAAAGGGAGGGTCAAGGAGACAACCCCTTTGCTAGGATATGCTCAAAATGAAGCAGCCCAGTTTATTCTCTCTTTCCCTTGTCCCACACATCTGGCACTTAACCAGGTACGGAAATTTGGTTGTGAAAGAAAGATCTTCATCTTCAACAGTGTTTTCACTGACACCTCACTAAGAACAAGCCATGTTATGCCATGTTCCCATGTGAGGCACTGAGTGTCTCAGCTCCTAGTAACTTCACTGCAAGCTGCAAGGACCTACACTAAGCCATTTCAATTAGGAGCTGGGATATTCCCAGAAGATGATTTGTCAAAAGCTACATCACTACAGAAATGTTTTTTCTTCTGCTCTCACCACAGGAGTCCAGACATCTTATGGCTCCCTCAGCTGTATAAAGCTGGATGTACATTGCTGCAAGCAGTACATGGGCCCATTTCTTTTTCCCAGAACACTTTATCTCCAAAACACTGCATACACTGGCATTCTTTCCTAGAAAAATACAATATTTAATTGCAGTGCTTGATGAGCTTGATCACTAACTCTCTCAGTAAAATTGACATACAGAGACATTTCAATACGAACCCCCTTTATACAGAAATGGGAAGATAAATGCAATCAATTTACAATTGCTTTTTAGTTGTTTGTTTTTTTTTTTTATTAGGAAGACATTACACACACAGTAAATATGATTAGCCCTGAAACTGCCTGCACATGACTGAAAAGCAGAACAGAAAAATGTGCTGAGTACAGTCATGACTTTATAGAAGGGTTGGGTTTCCAAGATTCTTTGATGATGCATAAATTACTCTTCACACTGCCACTTCTCTATCACGATTCAGTGATCGTGTCAAACATAATTACAACTTTCTTTTCAGAACAGGAGTTGATAGCTGAGCGTTCCTCATGAAATCGTTCAAAGTTAAAAGTATAATTTTTTATTCATCTCCTGCTCTCTATAAAGTGCAGTGGCAGAGATATTGATCTTCCATGCTCATGCCCTATGACTAGAGGTCATAATTCATCTGAGGTGAAGCCCTCTGAATTATGGTGCCTTTTCCCCTTCCTCTAGGCAGTGGAGATTAACTCTGTGCTGCAGGGACAACCCTGTTGAACATGTATTATAAGCACAAGGTTGTATATTATTATTATTATTATTATTATTATTATTATTAAGCTTGTATTCTTTTCTGTTTCCTCTTTTTCTATATAATTTCTTTTGCTAGACACTGTATGAAACCAGTATAGTCTCTGAATTGAAGGAAATGAAATGAAGGTCCTTTTTTTGGCATGTTATTATGTATACAACAGACTGGTGTGAATTAGCTCTAGGCTAAACTCTAACCTCCTTTTTCAGGCCAAACTTCCAGTTGTCCAGTGATAGTATTATTGTAGTTTTGTGGGTGTTTTTCTGCCTCACCTGTCAGGAGAAAAAAAGCTATATAAACATTTGTATGTGTGTGTAGGTATATGTGTATATTAAGAACGTAGTTGGACACTGAGCAGAATATCTAATACATTCCTCACTGCTAGAATTACTCCAAATTTCTGGGATTTCCAGTACTAACCATTAAAAATAACAACAAATGTATGTTTGCCAGTAATTTATTTGCCATATAACATTTTTAGAACGTAAAAATAAATGCTTTTTGATGATCAGAAGAAGCCAGTGGAATTCCTCTTGCATGAAGCAGCTATTACAATTTTATTCTCCACTGTTCTATTTTTTGTCTTACTTCCCTTATTTTTTTCTCCTCCTGAAGAACATAATACTGAAGGCAACGTGTCTCCTGGCTCCTTTCCCTTTTGTCACTCATGACAGTACTTTCAAACTCCATTAGTAATTTTTCAGAGCAACACATGAACTTTTCATTGAGTGAAGGTCAAAACTGACTTGGAGAACAGATGGGGTGTGGAAAGATGAACCTTTGCCACCCACTGAGCGTTAACACCTGCTTATTTCTTACATCTGCCTGCTGCAGCTTACATGCTCCTGAAAATTTTACCCAAGTGAATTAGGACTTGCAATTGGATTGAGTGCAAATGGCATTTGTGAAAGTGGTTTTGTTTTTACCTTCTTAGTCATGCTTTGCATTCTTTGAAGGTGGAAATTAACTTCACGTGCTTGGAACCTAACAGAGGGACCGTGATTTTGTTGAAATGCTATTGCAGCAAAATGTAAAAAGGGCTACAGTAAGATGGTACTGAATGCAAATTGTGAATGCTTCAGAAGCACGGGGAGATTTAGGATTTCTGCTGGTTTTATACAAGGGGGTGCTACTTCCTCTCTGAGCCCAGTTACACACAGCATAATTTTCTTTGGAGGTTCCAGAGAAGATGGCATAGAATAGTTTGGCTTCATCCAACCATCTCCAAGCGAAGGCATTTCAGCCACGTAATCAGTGGGGAAACTAATGCCCCTTCTCATCTGTTCCTTCCTTTGTCTTCTGTTGGTGGTCAAATATCTGCATCGTTGTTTTTCAACAGCAGCTCTCAGTAAGCTTCTTTCTCAGGAGTGATCCTGAAATGAGGGATTATACCTGTGTTTTACAATACTGGTCTCTGGATTTGAGTACTTGTATTTAGAGTAGCTGCCAACTGTATTTCAACATGAAAATTAGACGGTCATTCATTAAACTACTCTAGATCAGGAAAGAGAAAAATGGTATTATGTAGCATGGAAACAAGCAGTGAATGAAAAGGTGGTTTGTTTGTGCCAGCTGAAACTTAGCAGAATGCAATATATTTATTCCTGTTATTATATGTTATGATGTGTTCAAAACTAGATGCATATTTTTTAAGTTTATAGAATATAGTTTATTGGTCTGGTACAAGAGCTATTGATGTGCTGACCTTCTTTAGTTTACCTCAGTAAGAGTAATTAAGAGAAATACTTTGTTATGGATACAGTTCCTAAAAAAACAAGAAAAAATAATGTATTTGCACTGTTTTAAGTTCTCAAACTAAGAATGTTCTTGGCATTATTGTTGAAATCCAGTGTGTTGTAGATCAGGAAAAAACTTGCCTGTTATCCAGAAGAAAATATTCTTTATTCCATAGGTATCCTAAATTATTTTAAATGCCTGGCTCAGAGCATACAGAGCCAGCAAGATCAGATCATAACAATGCATTTCCAACTTTACTTCAAGTTACTTGGAGTTATGAATCTTCAAAAGCATGACTTACGTTCCTTTGCGCTGTTTTGTTTTTCTTTTTTTTTTCCCCAGGTTGAGAAACAGCAATTATAAAAACATGCATCGAAGGCACACAACCCTTCGGGAGAAGGGCCGCAGGCAGGCCATCCGGGGCCCAGCCTACATGTTCAATGAGAAGGGCACCAGCCTGACTGCAGAGGAGGAACGCTTTCTTGATTCTGCAGAATATGGCAACATTCCAGTCGTGCGAAAAATGCTGGAGGAGTCCAAAACCTTGAACTTTAATTGCGTTGATTACATGGGACAGAATGCCCTACAGTTAGCTGTAGGGAATGAGCATTTGGAAGTGACGGAGCTCCTCCTCAAAAAGGAGAATCTAGCTCGAGTTGGGGATGCGCTGTTGTTAGCCATCAGCAAAGGATACGTGCGCATAGTGGAAGCAATATTGAACCACCCCGCCTTTGCACAAGGGCAGCGTCTCACACTCAGTCCCCTTGAGCAGGAACTGAGAGATGACGATTTTTACGCCTACGATGAAGATGGAACTAGGTTTTCCCATGACATTACCCCTATCATACTTGCAGCCCACTGCCAGGAGTACGAAATTGTTCACATCTTACTTCTAAAAGGTGCACGGATTGAAAGGCCACATGACTATTTTTGCAAGTGCAATGAATGTATTGAGAAGCAGAGGAAAGACTCCTTTAGTCACTCTCGATCGAGAATGAATGCCTACAAAGGATTAGCCAGTGCTGCTTACTTGTCTCTTTCCAGCGAAGACCCCGTCCTTACTGCTTTAGAATTAAGCAATGAATTGGCCAGACTAGCCAACATTGAAACTGAATTTAAGGTAACTTACTTCCATGGCATTTTTCGTGGGTCAGATGTGTTCAGTGTTCTTTCAGTGTGTATTTCACACATTTGATCAAGCAGTGGCTTTCACTCTTGGGGGGAGGAAACAGAAAGTGTAGAATCTGTCTGTATGTGTTTGCAACACACAGATCCATATCAGTACGCATTCTGCAGCTGATAAGTTTTTGGAACTGAATACTGCATATTGCATCAGTGCTCTCCTTACTGGGAATTTTTATACTGTACTCTATGATTGCTTAGAATCTTTAGTTGGAAGCAGGAATAAAACTTAAATTATTTTATTCCAAAAATGAAGACTCAGCTCCTGTAAGAAAGGTAAGTCTTTTTAACTGCTCAGTGTATTTTTAGAAGCAGAGCTCTAGAATTTGGTGTAATTGATTGAGAATCCAGAACATCTAGCTCTGTTCCAGTGATAAAAGGTATAAATTAAGCACTTTTGGTTTTCTGCAAAGTAATTAAAATTGCATTTCAACTTAATGGTTGAGTACTCCATCTCTGTATGATGAATTTCATTAAAAAGGAGGGGAGAAATAATAAAGAAATTGTTATGAAGTCAATTACCATGCCAAACAACGGTGGAACTTGCAGAACTCTCTGACAAGTTATTCAACATTTGCATTATCATAATGAGTTTGTAAATGTCCAATGTCATTTGCATTATTTCTCTAAGTCATTTACATCTCATAAATAGCATTGTCTCCCTTTATAAAATAAATCAGTCATGAGAAAACTCATTTTCAGTGGTTCAGTCATCAACTTTAAGCTGTTTTCTGACTTACAACTATTGTGCAGCTACAATCACGATCAATGACACCGGGGTAATAAAGCATACATTGTGAGTAAACTAGGGTAGAATGCCAGCCAGAAATCCATTATTTTTAATTTAGAAAACTATTCAAGTGTTAAAGCATCCATTTCATGACTTAAAGCTACATGATTGCTAATCTAAATCTGACAAGAAGCATGATCTCAAGCTGTTACCTTTGAAACAGTGTAGCAAGTATAACAAGTGGAAAAATACCCAAACCATGGACCTTTGAGGCAATAAAATTAGGCAAAATCTTACAGCGTCCTTTTTTTTCCCCTTATGAATCAGAATTGGAAGAACACAACAGTTTAAAAGAGAGTTGTTTTTATTTCCTCTCTGTCCTAGAAGAAGTCTCACTGAGTTTTCTGAGACAGCTGAGGGTTACTTTGGTGTGAAACCACGTGGGTTCAACCCAAATTGTTAACAACATTAATATCTCATTAACGTGCCTTCTTCTTCTCAGTAGAGGACTGTCTCCTTGTGCAGAGCATGAGCAGTCTCAGTATCGCATGCCTGTCAGCTCTGATAAGAGTCTTGCTGAAGAAATGCAAATCTACCAGAATCCCTCCTTTTGTTCATAGAGCTGCCAGCGTAGTCTAGACTGGCACTGGCAGGTACATGAATCCTCCAGGAGCAAACGAGATGGAATGCTGAATAGTCTCGTGATGGTTGGCCTCCATCTCCCCAGGCTGACAAACGGATGTGAATAAATCAAGAAAGGAAAATCACTAGAAAACATTCACCAGTTTATTGCATTTTCAGGAATGTTTTCCAGTTTTGCTGCCCAGTGAGAAGCTTCTGTGCAAAACACACGTATGTATATTAATCAGGTACCTCTGAAGATAAGCTGACCCAGTAGTTTACTTTCACATTCTTTTAATATATTGCCATTTCTAGAAATAACAAATATCTCAAGATTATGATGCACTTTGCTGTAAATGAAAATCAAATGTATGTATGTATTCAAAAATATTTATTCTTATTAACATAATCAATGTGGACAGAATACAGCAGAAGCTTTTTTTTTCACAGAACATGACATTTTGAGAATTTATTTCTAGAAAAGTATGCATTCACTGGAGATGTGTTTAAGAAGTCCATAAATTAGGAAAAATGTATGAGATCAAACAAGCTCCAGAGGTCTTCTTTTGTGTGCATCTTAAAATAATATTTTCCACAACTTCATAGTTTGTATTGCTGAGGTTCTGTAGTTACCATCAGTGCTCCACAACTATATAGAATTATCCCTTGGAATTATTTTGAATCAGGTAATTATGCACAGTCTTAACAATGCAGTTTTCAAGAGGAACAAAAAGTCCTTGAAACTGAAGGGCACAAGTAAGATTTTAATAACGTAGGTGAAGAAATAGTAATTAAGGGCTAGATCACCTACCTCTGAAGAAACTCTTAGCATGAGATAATTAAAATATAAATGCAGAGCCTCTCACCTGCTGCTTGCTGCCCACAATCACTAATGCACCATTCACAGCAGTATTATTGAGGTTAAAATGGAAGCCTGGAGGTGTGATAGAATCTCACTGCTGACATTTGGCAGCACTTCTGCTGACTGATCAATAGGTCTTTAATATTGGGAGATGTTCTGGGTTACCAATCTGGGTGGATATGCTGCCCTATTGAACTCCTTTCTTGATGTGTTGATTTAGGCTCTGAAGGAAGATCAAGGCAGTCATTTACAATGTAAATTCCCCCATGTAGAAAGGAGCAGTGGAGACTCAGAACTGGAAGAAAGGTGGAAACTGACAGAGCCGATGGATGCCAGTGGTTTTATTGGAGCAGATTGACTATTGGGTTAAATCAGTGCTTTTTCAGTCAAGCTGAGATGAAACTGCAGAAGATGATGATCTGTCCAGCTACCTACAATAAATGCATACTCTCGAATAAGCCATTATTTCAAGCAAATCTGATTTTTGCAAGGCTTATTTATAAGGAAAAAAAAGAAAAATGTGAAATATTGTTACATTTATACAGAAATTATTTAATTTTTTAACTTTCAATTCTCTAATGTCAAAGTCCTCCCAAAAAGAATCAAACAAAAAAACTAAAAAGCTTTTTTATAAGCACTAGAAAACGAACTGCTTTCAGGGACGTATTCTGTGAGTCTAGAAATACGTAATTCCATCAGAATATCATCCTCTCCCAAAAATTATTGTACTGGTTGTTTCTGCTGAGAATTGTCGCAATTTGAGTGCATTAAATGACCTGGCAGTTAGCCTAAAAATGAAGCAGGCAGGAAAGTCATCCGATGTGTATTCTTGAAATTTCGGAATACCTCCCAGTGTTTGTACATGTTGCATGCATCTCATATTGTGCTTCTAAGTAGAGCTGAGTGTTAAGCACAGCTGGCTATAAAAGGAGGTGTTAAGTATCTGAAGCTCCAGGGGGAGGCTGTGCTTTTACTCAAACTGAAAGATTTATATACACTCCCATTTCTTTCAAAGTTGGCAGACCTTGAGCATGAGTCATAAAGCAAATAATCCTTCTGTCTTCGATCAGTGAATCCTGTTTGTTTTGCTCGTGCAAGTAAGCTTCCAGTGTGAATAACATAGGCAGGATTTGTCCACGCAAATAAGACATTGCCTGTGAATCCAACTGGTAAAGGCTGCTCTTCAGTCCAGGGAGATCAATCTTCCTCATGTCACCTTGGCATGAAGCTGGATGCAGATTTCTTCTCAGAGATTGGCTCTTCACAGCCAGGTGACTCTTCTAGGACTGAGATATTAATAGCAGAGTCAATAGAATCATTTCTGTGTGTCCACTGATCTCCTCTTGGAGATAATCTTTCTAGCAAACAGTCTGCAGAAATGTTTGCACCTTGCAACTTAAAGGCAGCATCAGGCCTTATTACAACACTTCACGTCCTGCAAACGGAGAGAAAGAGCAGTAGCTCTGTTTGCTCTTTTTTTTAAGCTGTGATGGAGCAGTCCTCGAATTTCTGGTGGGATCCCAACCCACACCCAGGTTTGTTTTGCAGCCTGGCATGCTCCAAAATACACGACATGCTTTGAGTGGTGAAGACAATCAGGCAATTCATTCTATTTAGCAATCCAGACAAATTCAATTACAGAATCACAAAGGAAGCTGTGAAAAATCTCATGAATTGTATGTGGTAAATAAGTTCTCAGCTCCTGTTGACTAAAATATTACTGAAGGTGTGATCAAAACCACCACCTGGAAAACATATGGTGTGTGCTCTTTGTTTATCAATCCTACCAACACTTTCTGTTCATTTACTATAGCAAATTTGTTTTGTTTCTAACTGCTATATCTCTTGCTGATGCTCTCTGATTGACTGTAGTGCTTTCTCTAAACGATTTCAAGATCCAAAAGTGACCTTATCCTGTCTGTGTGTGTATGTGGCACATCCGTGCTCAGCTGGTTGATGGGCTGTGCCTGGCTGCTGCCCTATTTATGGGGAGCATTGGCTTGTGTGGCAGCAAGTCAAGTGTGTAGCTGCCTACAGAGATATGCCTGCTAGGAACTGCTTGTCATTTCAGTGGGGCTGCAGTAATGTGAGACAGCTGAGACTCAAAGCCATGAACCCTCAGGGAACCAAAAAGAATAGCAAAACATCCCAGGAGACTTAATGGCATGTATCAGTTAGGGATGATCTGGCATTCCTGCAACGAAACTTTTGCTCCTGTAACTCAGTACTACTTTTTTCTTCCTAGGTCGTTAATAGAATGTGCTTGACCAAAACACTGTAAGAAAAATAACCTTGTAAAATTCCTATGCATTTCTTGCTTTATCTCTGCAAACATGGAATTTGCACCAGTCTGACCATACGCTGAGTGGTAGTAGTGACACTGATACATAGTACTGCTGCTGCAAGACAATATGCACTGCTGTATCTGATTATATCTTGCTGAAAAGCTGCAGTTCTGTCCAAACAGAAGAATCTCTTTGGCATTTTTGCTCTCAGGACTGCCTGGAGGCATTCCCTAGGTTTATTTTCATTCCCATGAAAATAAAGACACTGCTGTGGGAATCTTCCTAATTAACTTCATGAACACTCTTGTAAATCAATAACTTTTTTTCTACTCTGACCAATTCTTCCACAAGTGATCCTTTTATCCCTCCATAATCCCTTGCTTCAATATTCTTTCTGGCATGCATCTTCCCTCTGACACCTTTTATTAGTGATATGTATT